TCCCTGCCTGATCCCAAACAATGGCAGTTATGGTGCAGAAAAGCCCAGCCCTAGAGGAAGCTATGGCAGGATGAGGGGTGATAATACACCTCACCTGGGATGTGAAAGGCAGAATCCAAGAGTGCGGGAAGACGTGACTTTTGAGCTCCAAGGCTCAGGGAAAATTTAAATAACAGATGTTTAAACAACCTTCCCTGCAAGCCATGGTGCAGTGACCCCTCTGCTGTGATGTGTTACAGCTTAAAAATAGCCCACAATGAACCGCTCTGAGCTCCAATTGACTCAAGCTTACGTAACTCTGCGTGAAAGATGGCCAGCCGCAACAGCCACAAGGGAGACCAACAGCACAGCCACCCTGACTGCTGTCCACAGCTGGCTGAGGGGCTGCAGCCAGCTCCCCCCACCGCTTCCCTGGGAGCAGCACCCCCATCCATCCAGGAGTCGGGAGGGAGGAAGAGGGAGTCCTTGCTGCCAGAAGCAGGGCCTCAAGACTAGTGAAAAGAGACCTCCCACCCCACCTGCAAAGGGGATGTGAAGAGGGCTGCCTTCCCACAAGGTCCCTGTGGAGGGTGGGGGAGACTTTAAGAACAGATGGCGCGTCAAAGAGAGCGGGGCAGGAGCCCATGGGGACAGAGTGATGGGGCAACCCAAAGAATTCCTTTCCCCCTTTGAAGAGGGGGCTCCCCAGCTCAGAGAGACATATCAGCAGGGCCGATGGCTGGCTGAAGCTGTCACTACCGTGTAGCCCAGGGGGACTACAGAGGAGCCTTCGGGGCACTCTCCTGGTGGTCTAGGGACTAAGACTCTGCGCTCCCTGATGCAAAGGCCCTGAGTTCAATCCCTGGTCAGGGAACTAGATCCCACATGCTGCAACTAAAGAGCCCCTGTATCAAAACTAAGACCTGGTGCAGCCAAATAAATAAAATATGTTTAAAAAAAAAAAGTCTTAAAGGACAACCACTTGCTAATGGAGTAAAAAGCAATGCCTGGTTCCCCAGCAGCTCATCCCTGCCTACTGTCCAGGGCCTCAGATGCTAACCCTGTGTCCCAGAGGCTGCACATAGGTAGCACTTAGATCTGTGGAGGGAGGGCACTCCAGGCAGGAGCACAGCCCAGACACGTGGGCTGTGTGCCTCTGGGGGCTTCTAGGTCTCCATGGTCCTGGTTGCACCAGAATCGGGGGGCAAGGTGGGGGGACTAGTGGCATGAGAAAGGGAGATCTGGCTTCAGAGCTAATCGAATCCTGTGATCTTGGCCACCAGCTGCTTTTGAGTCCCCTGTCTTCCCTGATTCATTCCCAGATCCCAACTGCCCAGTCTAAGATCACAAGTTTGCGAGTGGCTAAACCAATATGAAGGGGAATGAATGAGAGAGAAGGCAAAGATGCCCCTGGATCTCATGCTCCATCTGCCTCTGCCCATGCGGAGCCCCAGGGATTCAGCAATGTCCCTCCTCTCCCACCATCTGAGCTCAGAATAGCAACTGTCACAGGCCGGGCCCCATGAGCTCAACCTCCCACAGAGCAACAATGAGACTGATGAGGGCCAAACCTGAGGGCCCTCCCGCTGCCTGCATGGCACAGGCTGGCTGTCAGGACCATTAATACCTCTGCTTCCCTTCCAAGGTCCCAGCTCCTGGATGGGTGGAGCAGAAGTTGTGGACAAACAGCCACAGAGGGACAGGAGCTGGTGCTAGGCTCTCTTGGCATCTAGGCTCATCGGACTAAAAACTCTGACTGGAATGAACCCCCAAAAGAATGGAGGGAGAGACTGAGGCTCAGCTGGCCCACAGCGATAGATGGGGAACGCTGGGGGTGGTTCCTCAAGTCATCCCCCCTCCTCCAGCCTGGAGTAGCTCCACCTTTGAGCTGACTGGACTCTCACACGGGCAGAGCAGAGGCTGTGGATGAAGAGATGCTCGGTTCCTGGGTCTTCATGGAGGAGAGTTCTCCAGCCCACCGTGGAGTAATAGGTGTTTTTCACCAGGGGCTGGCAGATGCTAGACCAGAGCTCGGTTATCGATTCTCAGGGCTGCGTCTCTCCAGGCAGAGGCACTAGGTGTGAAAGATGCATGCTGGGCCTTCCTGAGCCTCAGACCCTCCCAGCAGCACCCACAGCCCCCAGCCCCACCCAGCCCTGGGGGAGGGGCGGGTCTCCTACAGCTGCAGGGAGTTAGTTCATGCAGTGGTACCAGAGGTGGACCCAGGGCCTCATGGGCTGCACCAAGGAATGACCAGTGAAGGTCATTGTCCCAGAAAGGTCTCAGGGTTTGAAGTGGGGTTGTGTCTGGAGCCCTCAGGGGCGACCCCTAGAGAGCCTTTGGATCCCTGTGGAAATTCTCTGAAAGACTGGGGCTTTGGCATAAGGGGAATCCCAGACCAGACTCCTGGTTCCCCATCAAAGCAGGTCGGTCTACCCCATGTCTGCCCTCCAGGTGCCAGACGACACTGACACCAATGGGCAATCAGGAGGGTGTGAGTCATCTGCCGCTTCCTCAGCCCCAGCTCCCAGCCTGGCCTCCCTCCAGCCTCTATTGGCACCTGCCGGCCCCCAGCCCCACTGGGCTGCAATGGAGGGAGATGAGGCAGACAGGCTGACACCCACTCCCCACAGCTCATGATGGGAAGACTGGACTCCCAGAGCCGTGGGAGAAACCTGCGCTCATCCCATCCAACCCCCATGATAGGCCTGGGCCCACCAGGGCCACCAGCAATTTCCGTCTTGCTCCGGCCACTACTCAGGCCTCCCCCAAGGGAGAAGCAAAAAACAAACAAATAAATAAGGGAAAGGCAACCCAGGCTTCATGAGCCCTGGAAGCCACTCAAAGCTCCTGTTCTTCTCAGCCCATGGGGGGCAGCTAGAACTAACCCCTCCTTTCTTCCCTGGTGGCCCAGGCAGGACCTGGAAACCCTGAAGCAGTTCCATCTTCAATTACTCCAGATGATCTTAGGACTATCAAATGGCTCTGAGAACAGAGTTCAGAGCTTGGGGGCTTCAGTGTTACGGAGAGGCGGTGCAGTTGTGTTAAGCACCTGCTTAAGTGTGTCCCCTCCCTGGAGAATCCTGGCCCTGGAGGCCCTTGGCCCAGAAACAGGCCCGAAGCCCCACATTCTGGCTACACAGGAAACTGACACCTGCTGAGCGTCTTCCATCTCCCTTCTCTCTTCGATAACGTTCCCTCCTATCCAGAGAATCCCCTTCCTCTCTGAGTCTCTCTCTTATATATATATAAATAAATATATATATATTTGGCTGCACCAGGTCTTAGTTGCAACACGTGGACTCTTTAGTTGCAGCATGCAGGATCTTCAGTTGAGATATGTGAACTCTTAGTTGTGGTATGTGAGATATAATCCCTGACCAGGGATTGAACCTGGGCCCCTTGCACTGGGAGCATGGAGTCTTAGCCACTGAAGCACCAGGGAAGTTCCCTGAGTCTCTTTCTTATCCCTTTCTTATCTGGGCTCATGATAAGCTCATGGTCCCTAAGCTGCAGAGGCCCAGTGGGGAAGGAGCCTCAGTCTAACTTCAGTGAAGCCTCTGAGCCTTGTCCTCACTCCCCACCCAGCTCCAAGCCTGGGGTCACCCTTAGATCCCTAGGATGAGATTAGGGCACAAGGACTACCAGGTAGAGGGATGGAGACAGTCCGTTCTAACTGGAACGGGGACCACAGCTGTGGGAGGGTTCCAGGACCATTCCACTCACTTCTCTCCCAGCCTGAGGGATGACACAAGGCAAGGAGGAGCCCAGAGGTCCCTGGCAGAGTGTGCAATGCTACAGCCTCCCCTTCCGTGCCTGCACTCTTGGGCATCAGGGATGAGGTGGTAAAAAGGCAGACGGAGTCTGTCTCTACCCCTTTCTAGCTTCTAGAGCCCTGATCTTCAGACCCTTGCCCTAGAGCTTGAGTCTTCATTTAAGCTTTACCTACCTGTCCTCAGAGCCCTTCAGGCTCCCATATCTGGGCCTCCCTCTGACCTGAGGTGACAGAGTGGGCAACAGATGGGTAAAAAACAGCTAGGCAGCTCCAGCCCCAAGGAGACCCCTACTCTGCTTACCCTGCCCCAAACCCAGGGTTCCATGCATGACAGGCCAGAGAGCTGGCGACTCAAAGGGGTGGGAGCCTACTTCCCTTAGGGTGAGTCAGGGTCCCCCAACTGATGAGAGAGAGGCCATGGGAAGCCTGAGTAAGAGAGAGGACCCACCACGGTGCAGGTCTGGGGCGCAGTCACCCTGGTCACCCAGGTGTCCACTCCAAACAGGGCCCAGTGGCCCCCTCAGCCTTAAGGGCATGGGGGAGCAGCAGCCCAAGGAGGAAGATGCTGTCCTTCTCTGGTGGAGTTGCACCTCTAGTGGCTATTGCACTGTGGCCTTGATGAGTATAAATAGCCTGAGCCGTCTGCACCTCGAAGCTGGTGCCTTAAAAGTGTGGAGCTGAGGGCTTGCTGCAGGCTCATCTCTCTCAAGGCTGCAAGAGCAATGCTGTCATGATTGGGGGAGAGGGGGACAAGTCTCCATGCCTTAACAGTGGGTGGGGGCGGGCAGTTAGGGGAAGGGTGCGGGTGGAGCAGGGAGCCCTGGAGTGGGGCTAGGGCCTGGGCAATGGGACAGGCGGAAGGGGCAACAGCAGAAGCCATCGTGGCTGCTGCATGTCTGGGTTTTCAACCCACCCCTCTTGGTTCCATCTGAAAGTCCCCAGGGCCCTGTAATCTGGATGTGGGCCTGGCCTGCCCTTCCTGTTCTCTGGAGCCTTTTTGCCGACCCAACCCCTTTCCAGCCTCAGGGCCTTTGAATGGGCTGTTCACTTTGCCAAAACTCTCTTCCCTCAACCGCTTCTGGTGCTTCTGGCGGCGCAGTTCCCATCTGACAACATCCCAGCAAAAATGTCACCTCCTGGGGTGGCCTCCCTATCTCCCTCTTCATCTATCTAGGCCTGTCCTCCGTTCCCTCAGAGCAGCCTGTCTTTTCCTTTCATAGCATTTACCACAAAGTGTACTTAAATATTCATTTGTTCATTTACTGATTTAAGGGCCAGTGGTCACCACTGAGTCCCCTGTGCCCAGCAGCCAGGCACGCAGCAGACACCTCATAAATACTGCATCAAGGATCCCTGCACTGGCTCCCCCTGAGAAGCAAGAGACCAATATGCCTTGCAGTCCTCCTGTTCCCCTGAAGGTGAAGGGACCAGGACATGGCAGAGACCAGCCCAGAAGCAGCTTGGGGTAACTGCCAGCGCTATGCAGGTCCAAGCCCCAAGGCCCTCCTGGGGCTGAGGTCACGTGGGCCTCGGTGGCTCTGAGAGGGGCCGGGGCCGCCCTGGGCTCCTGTGCACTGTTGGGGATGGTGACTGTTCCGAGGGCATGATTGCCTTGTCAGGGGCACCAGGGCCCACGTTCATGTAGGCCACGGGCAGCTGCACATAGTGGTCCCCTCGCAGCGCAGCCACCACGAGTGCCACTTCCCCTGCTAGCTCTCCGAAGGTGGGTCGCGCCGTGGGGTCCGCCGCCCAGCAGTGCTGCATCACAGTGTACCTACCGGGGAAAGGAAAACATTAGGGGCACGGTGCACCCCCACCCAGAGCTTCTGGGCTATCCACCTGCGGTTAGCCCCCGGCAGGCCACAGCGGACGAGAGCGGGTGACATGGCTGATGCCTTGCCTCACCCAATTACAGGGAAGCTTTAACTGCCTGCCTTCCCACCCTGGCAGAAGTCGAATTGCCTCAGGGGTTGAGAAGCTGGGCTCCTGTGTCCTGTGACATGGGCTCTGTGATCTTAACAACTTCCTTAACATTTCTGTGCCTCTGGATCCTTCTCTGATCACAGAGTTGTTGGGGCATAAAGTGAGAAGACTCCTATGAAGTTCAGAGCTTAGGGCCCAGCTCACAAGCTATCGCAGTTATCATCACAGGTCTTCCAGGAAGAAAGCCCAGGTCTGAGGAAATGGGGATTCAAAGCCCTGAGATTGTCGGGCAACTGGTTGGCATCATATGGGCTTTCCTGGTGGCTCAGGTTGTAAAGATTCTGTCCGCAATGCAGGAGACCTGGGTTCGATCCCTGAGTCAGGTCAGGAAGATACCCTGGAGAAGGGAATGGCAACCTACTCCAGTATTCTTGTATGGAGAATTTTATGGACAGAGGAGCCTGGTGGGCTACAGTCCACAGGGTTGCAAAGAGTCGGACACGACTGAGCAACTAACACTTTCACTTTTCTTTCACTTTCTTTGGCACCACGGATCCCAAGCAGTTTGTGTTTGTCCGGTGGGTCCTAATACATGCCCCTTTATCTTGGAAATGTCATCCCTGCCCTAAATGATACTAAAAGTGCCCCACACATGATAATCTCATATAATTCTCAGACCTCTGTGGGTGGTACCGTGATCACTCTAACTCTGCAGATGAGGAAACTGAAGCCCAGAGACAAGGGACTTCCCCTGGTTTAGAGGCTGGTGGCATGGCCCCCTTCATTCTCCCTGTGGTTGCTGATGGCTCTTGACTGAGGTCCCCTCTAGGAATTGCCCTAGACAGAAAAGAAATGCCTCCTCCAGAGTCACACACCTTCCTCCTGGACAGCTGTAAGCAGTGACTGATGTATGTCTGGTGCAAAGACCCGGGACTCTGGGTCTCAATTTCAGAAAACTCTGAAGGGCCATCCCAATTCCAGAGATCCTGGGGGATGGACAGCAGCTTCTTTTACATCTGCATCACAGCTCTACTTCTCTGCCTACCTAGTCCTGCTTCCCTTGCCCCCAACCTAGGAATCAACCACCTGCATGTAAATCTCCATCTCAGAGTCTGTTTCAGGGAGCCTGACCTGGAGGCAGAAGTTAATTTCCCTGACTTTGAAGCAGATGCATCGGTGAAATAAATAATGAAAAGCAAAAGCAAGGCAGGCAGGGCTGTGAGGAAGGGTTACTCATACCCTTCTGGAACACAAGCTGAGTGAGACAGGAATCATTAGCCACCTTTACCTGTGACCTGGTTCTTCCCGTTCTAACCTCAAAGACCTGAGCATGGCTAAGGCATGCGTGCTGCTTATAAAGCTAAACCACCCAACAGGCATTGATGAAACACAGCTGCTGCCAGGCCTCTGGGAACAGGGAATCTGAAACTATATCCAATGAAAAACAATTTCTGATCTGGAGATGTGGAGGGGGCTTAGTGTGGGAGCTAATGGAACCTTTCCTTGAGGTTAAGTAAGTGGAAGCGATGAAAAACAGCCCCCCTTGGTGGGGATTGTGGGGAGAGGAGTGCTGGGAAATGAAATCACTGGCCTCAACCCAGACTCTGAGTTAGGAATGCTGTTACCATGGCAACCATGATCTCCTTCTAGCACCAAGCCCCGAGGCTGGTGAAACCAGTCCACAGATGAGGAAACTGAGGCTCAGAGAGGGTCCCTTTCTAGGTCGACCTGAGAACAAGTCAGAAGGCCAGGCGAGAACTGTCTCCAGCCCCCTCCTCCCCTTCTTGTCTCTAGGTCCCAGCTCCCTCCCCATCACCATGTCCATATACTCACAGAGAATCTGGGCAATACTCAGGCTGGGGCAGGCGCCGACCCTGGGCCAGGAAGTGAGTGAGGTCGAAAGGGTCGATGTGAGGGTATGGAGGGGCACCCCGCGTAAGCAGCTCCCATAACAGTACACCATAGGACCACTGTGGGAGGGGACAGGTGAATGGACTCAACTTTCAGCTCAAATCTGGGGACAGGTGGACCCCTCCAGGTCTGCTCACTCCCAGAGCCCGCTAGCTGGAAATGAGGGGCTCCACCCCCAAATCGGAACTGTTCTTCTATACCTCACAAGCATCTTCGCTCTGTCCCCACCCACCACCCCTGAGCCTGCCCAGAGCTGGGGCTTGGCAAGGCCTGGATTACCTGTGAAGAGCCACCTCTTGCCCTGATACCTGCCCAGAGATGGGCAAATGGGCTGCGGGCACTGCCCAACACAGGGTTCCCTGGGTTCATCAACATCCAGAGTTGAATGGGCAAGGCCAAGTGTTGTCTGAGGCTGGGTGGACTCTGGGGCAGGTGGGACCTCACCACGTCGGACTTGGTGGTGAATCTGTAGGTCTGCAGGCTCTCCAGCGCCATCCACTTGACAGGCAGGCGAGCGTGGCGGTGCTGCTGGACACTGTAGTACTCCTTGTCCAGGACATCACGGGCCAGACCAAAGTCAGCCACCTTGACCGTGAATGACTCATCCAGCCTGGGAGGGGAGGATCGCACTCAGGACTGGTCACCACCAGGCCCCGAACCCATCTATCTCAGGCCCTCACAGGGTTTCTGAGCCACAGCGTCCAACCCAAGCCTGCACTGGGCAGACAGAAAAATGGAGGACCAGAGAGGGAAGGACATGTCCAGAGCTGTAGAGCAAGGAATGCAGCGTGGGCCTTCCCTGGGGGCGCCTTCAGCTGCACGCCCTGGTGCTCCAACCCCCTGGCTTCACTCTGGCCGCTCACATGCAGTTCCGAGCAGCCAGATCCCGGTGCACAAACTTCTGCTCGGCCAGGTACTCCATGCCGTGGGCCACCTGCAGCCCGAAGCTGATGAGGTCCTTTACTGTGGGATTCTGGGGGTGGGTGGGGGACACACATGGGTCAGTAGGTGAGGGCAGAGCAGCTCCATGCCCAGCTGCTGCCCAAGCCCCCCCTCCTACCCACCCCCCAGAACCCAGGGTCAGCTAAGCATTGACTGACCCGCTGGGGTGAGCGGATGAACTGCAGCAGGTCTCCATGGCGCATGTAAGGCAGCAGCACACGGGGCAGCCCTTCCGGGGGTAGCACAATGCCGATGAGAGCCAGCACATTTGGGTGGTGCAGACGGCGCATGAGCAGCCCCTCGCGCAGGAAGGCCTCCACCTCTTGCACCTCTGTGATGCCTGCAGGGAGGCTGGAGTCAGGCCCAGGGCAGGGAACCCCTTGATAAGGGTCAGATGGGGAAACAGAGGAAACAAAAGTCTCCTGCTCAGGGTCACAGAGCTGAGTGGTAGCATAGCAGGGATGAGGATCCTCCCAGCCTCTGTTTCACTTACGACTCAGGGACTTGATGGCACAGTGGATTCGATTCTGGGCCTCGTCTGTGTATTCTCCATGGTAGACAACTCCAAAATGGCCTGATGAGGGAGAGATGGTGAGAGGGGCCCCAGGGCCCAGAGCTTGCACCACTCCCACCCACTGGCAACCAGACCTCAGAGCTCCAACTCGTGATGGCAAAGCCTGCAGCCCTCCCATACCCACTTAATCTGCACCAGAACCCACTGAAGACAGAGTTCCTATTTCACAGATGAGCAAATGGGGGCTGAGTCCTGCCCAACTGTCCCTCGAGCCCATGTCATCTCAGGACTCCATCTCTGCCCCCATTCCACCTGGTCTGGCACCCATACCTTTACCAATGACTCGGTCAGCGTGGGTGACCACACTTTCATGGGGAATCAGTACATCCTTGACCTCAGCCAGGAGCACAGAGTCCAGATCCCCAAGCTGGATGGATCCTTTCCGCAGCAATGGGACACGGGACCCATCCCCGCTGTCTGAGGAGGATATTCTGTGGACCTGAGTGGAGGAATCCTGGCCAGTGATAGGAGGGGCTGTGGAGGAAGAGAGGGAATGAGGGGCTGGTGGAGCAGACAGTATGGTCCCACCTTCCAGCACCTCCAGCATCTCACCAAGGCCATTTCTGTAGTCAGAGCCTGAGCGGAGCAGAGGCAGAGGCATGGCTCCAGTGGTCCGGTCCAGGGAGGCCAAGTCTTCCAGGTTCCGAGAAAGAACTGTAGACAAATGCCTGCTGGTAGCCAGCCACTCCAAGGTCCCAGAGGCTGACCCAGACCCGGGAGGTGTGGGCAGACCCCCAAGGCCTGGGCAGAGAGAGGATATACGGGCTTGGAGACATCATAGTTTGGGGGTGAGGGCTAGGTGAGGATGGCAGTGTAGGGCTCACCTAGCTGCTTCCTCCGGCGGTAACTGAGGACCAGTATGGCAGCCAGCACAGCCACAAGCAGGAGCAGAGCCAGGAGGACCCCGAGGAGCGTGCTCTGGGGGACCCCTTCCAGACCTGGACGTACTACTTTGCCCAGGGTGGAGCACCCACCATCCACGCAGACCTGGGGGGCATTAGGAGGTGGCTCAGGCCCAGCCTGTAGACTGCCCCCTGACCCGTGTCTCCTGAGGAGGGCCAACAGAACTGCCTACCTGCAGTGGAGCACCATCCTTGCCAAGTTGCAGGGAGGGGGGCAGGGGGCAGACCACCACATCCCCCCGCAGCTCGTGCTGGCAGCTCTTGCCACTCACAGTCACATTCACAGCCACACAGTCGGCCACAGTGCCCAGCCCGATGTACTGCAGAGACAGTCACAGGGGCTGGCCAGTGCCCCCCCCAACCCCACGCTCCTTTGGCGAGGCTGCAGCCCTACCCCCTCCACTGTGCTTACCCCTCATCCCCTACACTTACCTCAAACTTAATGGCATGCTCCTCAGGCTTCAGGGGGGCCAGGCCCTTGCTGGGTGGGTGGGGTGGAGGCAGGAAGCGAAAGCCAGGCAGTGTGAAGCCAGGAGCTCCATCCCCACGGACACTCAGGTTCCCTGTCACCCACCCTCGGCGACCTCGAACCACGTATTCGGGCAGGCGGCACCTGTGTTGCTCCGGGAGCTGCCCCTCACACTGCAGGGCCCAGGTGAGAGCAGTAAGCCCGGGTCTCCTACTTTGGCCACCTGGCCCCCTGAACCCAGCGTGGGCTGGGGCTGGAACTCAGGGGACTGGTGTGGCCTTCCTCCCTCCTGGCAAGTGTCCACTCAGCAGCTGTCAGCGCCCGCTCACCCTGTTCTCCACTGCCCTGACCCCATCATGGAATGACAGCGTGAGGTGCCATGCTGAAGTCAGATGCTGACCACGGATGGTGACGTGGGAGCCGCTGTGGAGGAGAGCAGGGTGGTGGGCCTCGGGGCACTCTCTGAGGCTGGACCCCTCATCCTTCAGAGACCAAAGTGGGCGAGGAGGTGACGCTTACCTATAGCCACATTTGGGGCTGATGCCCAGGATGATAGGGTCTTCCCGGTAGTGGAAGTTCCAAGAGCCAGGCACCTCGGCGCCCCCTACCTGCAGGCGAATGGGAACGCTGGCAGTAGCGGCCCCAGGGGGCGTGGTGCATAAAAGCTGCCCCTCGCTGACCCTGCAGAACAGGGGGATTGGGCTCAGGGGCACCTTCCAAGTGATGGCCAGGCCCGGCTCCTCCAGGGGCTGACAGACCCCTTGAAGTTCCTCTGTTGGCCATCTCCCCCTGATCTGCCCAAACTCCATGGTCTGTTTGAAGACAGGATGGTCCCAGTAAGGCCTCCAAGAAGTCAGGGAGGAGCAGAGTCCCTACAGCGCTGGCTGCAGTCAATGGACACTATAATGGGCTCTCTCACCATCCTCAAACCACCTCTGGGCTGGAGGGAGCAACAGACACTTCTTCCTGGTCCGTTCCCTCCACTGAATGACTGAGCCCTCCTCCCCTACCCTGTTGGGGATCCAAGCCCTCCCTGGTGAGGGTTCCCCTATGTGCGACCCTGTCGCCTCCCATCCCCCTTCCCACTAGCTCTTACTGTTTCAGCGGGCACTCAGTCCCATTGACCAGCACAGCCTGGCTAGTGCCAATAGACAGGCCTCGGCCTTCAAGGGTGAGGCAGGTACCTCCTGCCCGAGGGCCGAAGAAGGGTCGGACTGCTGTCAGCACTGGCTCCTAAGAGGGCATGGAGGTGGCTTAGCTTGGAATAGGAGGCCCTCCCTTCCAAACCCTTCCCTGCCCGAACTGCCCACCTGCCCAAGGACACAGACAAGGCAAGGTGGCCTCACCATGAAAGAGAAGCCTCCTAGCAAGGAAGTGCCATCTATCCGGAAGTGCCTGCCCAGTGGCATGTTGGTCACAGTGAGGCTGACGTTGGCAGGCCCGGCTACCTGCGTGCTCAAGGGCTCCAGCTCACACTCAAAATCCTCTATGAAGTCCTTCCGGGACAGTCGGCTGGGACATCAAGGGAACTCAAGGTCGGCCAAGGGGATGGGTCACACAGGCCTAGTGGCCTGCCCACCACAAATCACAGGTCTCCTCTGAGCTTAAAGATAGCCTCTATCTACCCATGCCTTAATCCTGGGTCAACAGGAACTGTCGGTGCAGGGACTAGTTTGGCCATAACTCAACAGACAGGTAAGGCACATGCAGGCTCAGAAAGGGATAGAGATGTCACCCCAGACACAAAACAAGCAGAGCTACAGCAGCTTGCCCCACACAAGCAGAGGACAGGATCTCACAGCAAAGGGGCTGCTTAGTTACCCACATCAGGGACAGAAACAGCAGGGACCAGGTCATACCTGAGGTCTGAGTTGCCTTTTGGTAACAGTCGGCAGGGGCTTCGACCCACAGTGACCTGATGGGTGCCTTCAGGCACCAGACCAGCAGGGTACAGGTAAAAGTTGGAGCCACATAGGGTCAGCCTTGTGCTGCCCCTTAGGGGTCCACTGCGGGGATAGAACTGGAAGGGGGAGGAGAACATAGCCTGAGTCCCTCTATGGGTCAGGACTCTCAGGCCTGTCTGCTTCCCTCTAAGTTTGCTGCCATACTCCTTGCCTGCCACACACTCCAGTCACTCTAGGTCAAGCTTGCATGCTGGGTGCTAAGTCACTTCAGTCATGTATGACTCTGTGTGACCCTATGGACTATAGCCTACCAGGCTCCTCTGTCCATGGGATTCTCCAGGCAAGAATATTGGAGTGGGTTGCCACGCTCTCCTACATGGGCTCTTCCCAACCCAGGGACTGAACCCTCATCTCTCGCATTGGTAGGTGGGTTCCTTACCGCTAGTGCCACCTGGGAATCCCTTCACTCTAGGTCAGCAGTCCCCAATGTTTTTTGGTACCAGGGACTGGTTTCATGAGAGACAATTTTTCCATGGACCAGGGAAAGGAGAGATGGTCTCAAGATGGTTCAAGCACATTGTATTTGTTGTGTACTTTATTTAAAATCTAATGCTGCAGCTGATCTAACAGGAGGTACTGATCTGCAGCCCGGAGGTTGGGGACCCCTGTTTTAGGTCACATGCTAGTCCTCACTCAGTACTATTCTGTTTCAAAGTCTTTGAATGTGCCCTCCTTATAGCTACTTGGGACATCCCAGACCTGAGGAGGATCATGGTTAGGACTTGCTGACTCCCACCCCAGGCCCAGCAGGTCCCATCCCTTAACTGTGCCCTGCTAGGCAAGCCATACCTCAGTAAGCTCCGGTGGGCAATAGTCCTGTTGCCAGGAGCCAGGACACTCCTTCTGCCGGCCACATATGCCCCCACACCATCCACAGCCCATGAAACGCTGTGCCCGCAGGCAGCGCCCACAGGTGAGGAAGTGGCGGCAGCCAGGGCCCCGGATCGGTACCTGGAAGACCTTGGACAGACAGGTATCTCAGGGGTGGCTGAAGGGGGAGGGTAAGCCCCCTAGAACCCCTGGTCCTACTGTCAGTCAGGGTGGTGAGACCTGTGTGTCAGTGCGTCCCTGGATTCGAGCGGGAGCCTGTGCTCCCAACAGCCCAGCCCCAGGCCCTACCCTGCCCACCTTACCTGGTCCCCAGAGGCAAAGAGCAGGTGGTCCCCAAGGCGTCTGACACCCCGATGCACGGACTGCCCGTTGCTGCCCAGTGAGAAGTTGGACACGTACAGCAAGTAGTTGAGAGATCTGGCCAGCTCCACCTGGGACAGGTTGGCCATGAGCAAAACAGCGACAGGGATCCGGGGACGAGAGGCTGCGGAGACGAGGGACCCACCTGCAGGATGCGCCCGTCGGCTGTGCCCATGTGGGCCACTGTGACGTTGTCGAGGCGCGTCACGTACAGTGCCGTGACCTCCATTGGTCCCAACAGCCCATTGAATAGGTCCACCCGTAAGAGGCTGCTGCTGACGAGCAGAGGGAAGTGGCGGCAGCTGATGTTGGGGCTGGAGGCCCCCAGACCAGGCTGGGGAAGGTCAAAGAAGGAGTCAGGGCTCATCTCCATGCACTGAACCCTCTGGGCCTCTGTCAGGGACCACAGTGGCCTAAACTCCCACCCCTTGTCACCTCCCATGAGAGGAGCTGGGTTGACAGTCCTGAGTTCCTGACCAGAGTCCTTTCCCGCCCCCTGCTGGTCCTGCCCCATATTTCAACAAACCCTGTCACCTCTTGAGGCTTCAATATCTCCACCTGCTTAAGGAGCTGAACTCTGAGATTTATTGGGTGGCAAGGGCTTGGTAGCATGTTCCCTCTCCCTGAGATGCCAAAGATCTTCCGGCACCTCCAGCCGCTACCTGTATCTCCTTCGAGGTACAGGAGGGATAAACCAGGGCCTGAAGGCCTGGGTGCCAGGAGACACTAATTTCTCCCCTGCTTTTAGCAGGAAGGTGTTTGGGGGACACCCAGTGCCCCAGGTCAGGGTTGTGGAAGCTTCTGGGAAACCAGAAGTGAGGGTATGGATGCAAGGGTATTGGAGCTGGATGCAAGGTGCAGGCAAGGCTCTATAGCCCTCGTAGCTTGGGATCCTCCCTTGCCAGGCCTAAGGGTCCTCCTCCTGACAGGAGGCCCCTGTCTGACAATGTGTACTTAACCCAGTCCTGAGACCCCAGTACTGATTGTAAGTCCTAGAGCAAGAGCTCAGCATATAGCTGGGCCCTGAAACTCCACGCACTGGATCTATAGCATGGGTGGGTGGGGACTAGGAGTCTGTCCCTACTGGAGGTGAGTAAAAGTCCTGATCCTAGCAGGAAGCCAGCCAGATGTTTTCTGTATGACTCAGGGACAGGTGGGGCTGTGTGCTTGGAAAAGAGGTCCTACCCTAGTCAGAGGCCCTACCCTGTCTGTGTGCCCCTGGGCTCCAGGGACTTAGCTCTGGATACCTAGGCTTGTCTGGGGGCCCTGGCCTCCTGAAAACACTGAAGTGTCCAATATCCCATAGAGGAGGGTGACTCCACCAGACTCAAACTCCACCTGAACCCATGGAGGGCAGGGACCAGCTCTGAGGCTCTCAGGCTTTGTGAGGGCAGCCATAAGGAACACAGAGTGGCTTTCCTCCTAGAGGCTATGTGCCCAGTCACTGGACAAACATGGGACAGGCTGGTTCACACACCGCCTGGGGGCCTGGCCAGACTGTGGGCAGGGCTGGAGATTAGCCCTTTCGAGTCTTGTACTGCCAAGTGGTGCTGGATGTCTTCTGATCTCCTGACCCCTAGCCAAGTCAGAGAGAGGTCCTGATTCCCCAGAGAGGAGGAGATGAGGGCAGTGAGGGTTTCCTAAGCGCAGACTAGGGATTCCCACCCTTAGGGCCTTCTCAACCCAGATGGAGTCAGCTGGAGGAGGAGGCTGAAGATCCCACCCTTTGTTGTGTGTGAAGTCTCCTCCCACCACTGGGGCATCAATCAGAGCAAAAGGAGACAGCGAAGAATGTCACAGCAAGGCCAGAGCCACAGAGTAGAGAACGACTCTGAGACCAGTGACTATGGGTTAGTTCCCTGAAAGGCCACTTGTCCAAGGCCATTCCTTCATTCATTCATCCATTTTCCTTGGTTCAATCTCTTGTAAGTAGGGTGGGACTGTTTCAGTGGCCTCAAGAAGTCAGTTTTAGGTTTGTCCTCAGGGCAAAAGCACTTTAAGGACCATCCTCTGTCTCTGTTCCAGCTCCCTAACACCATGGCTGAAGGGAACCTGCGCAGGGTCTGCCAGGAGAAGCACCTAGTTCAGCCTAGGCTGGGAGACCTCCTTCCTGGGATGAGAAGGGCCCCAACTATAGTGAAAGAAAGCCTGGGACTCTTGCATGGTGATCCAATCCAGCCAGCCCCTCCTAGGCCTTTACTCATAAGCAGATGTTTATAGTTGCTTGCACAAGACCAGGGTGAGTCTCCTGGAATCCACTAGAGCCAGGCCGCCTTCCCACTATGTCCTGATTCCTCCCCCAGTCACCCCACGGAGAGCAATCAGTGTTGAGTGGGTCCATAAAGCCTAGGGCAGGCAGGCTCCCTGACAAGCCCCCAACTTCCAAGGCCCAGAAGGATCTATGGAACAGGGGTGGAGGGGGGCATTCTCTGACAATGCCTGCCCCACCCTCTTGGGAAAGCAGAGCAAAACAAGCATTCCCACAGGGAAAGCGAAACTGTGTTGGTGAGTAGATGTGAATTTGTGAGTATCTGCCTGTGGATCAGGGGTGAGGGGCTGCTTTTTGTGTGTGTCCCTAAGTGTATAAACTGGGGACAGGTAGAAAGGGACAACCACCATTGAACCCAGAGTTTGGAAGTGTGCCTGGCAGAGAGACAGTTATGATGCAATCCAATTTTCCCATAACCAGGGAAATTACCCAAAAAAGCAAGAGGCCATAGTAAGCGAGAGGGTGAAACAGGAAAAGGGTTTAGCAACAGCATCTAGCCTACCCAGGAGATGAGATTTCAGTATGGCGTTTGACTGACTCCCCCTAAGAAACTGGGTGGAAGAGAAAGCTTCCCCCTGCCTGCCTTCCCCCTCCCAGACCTTCTCAGCGGTGGATGAGAAGTGAACACACACTGCTCACAAGTGAGAGCTGCTTCCTTCTGCTTACCGCATCCGGGCAAAAACTGGGCAACTGGAAGAAGTCCAGCCCTCGCCGGAGGCCGGGAGGGACCGGAGGCTCACAACAGCGCTCTACGCCCTGCTCGATGAGAGTGTCCAGCAGGTGGACGGGGAACGCACAGACCACAGAGTTGGGATCTGCACCTGGGCTGCTGTCTTTGCTAGCTGAGAAGACCCCGAAGAGCACTTCCTGGCCCTCAGGGATGCTCAGCTCAGCGGCCAGATGGCCACCCACTGGAGCAGTGTGGGCTGCCCGCAGCACCGGGTAGGGCTGCCCTCCCTCATGGGCCATGCGTCGCCGGCGTTTAGGGGCAAAATGGCAGTCAAGGACCAGCTCTCGGTAGTCGCCCAGGTCGGTCTCGACAGCGCTGAGCCGTGCCAGGCGCGTGTGCAAGGCGCCAGGAGCAGCTGCCACGTCGGTGGGCTGTACGGTCAGGAAATAGACGAAGGCTCCGGCGTGGAAACTGTACACGTATTCGATGCGGTAGGAATCGAGGTACTCAGGCAGCACCGAGAGCGCTGCGAAGCCTGCTGCGAATCCCGAAACGTCGGCCTTGAGCCGCCGGATGGACACCGAGTGTGGGCTGAAGCTGCCGGCCACCGCCGAATCCAGTGAGGATGCTACGTACAAATAGGACGCCTGGCCCTGCTCAACCAAGGTCACGAGGGTGCCCAGAGGGCTGGCCACACAGTCAGGACAGTCCTCTGGCCTATTGTGCTCTGAGAAAAGACAGACCGGTGGCGCCAGGTGCAGGGTTGTCCCGCCTGGCTCTAGCTCATGCAAGAAGCAGCGGCCACGAAGGCTGGAGCCACAGCTGATCAGTGCGGGAAGCGCCGGTTCCAACACCAGAACCTGCGCATCTGTGTCTCCCGGCGGGCCGTGGGGGCCTGGGCCACAGGCTGCACACGTCTGGCAGCCAGGGGCCCCAGCAGGGCCGGTAGCCAGGCTCTCAACTGGCTTTAGATCAGGTCCAAGCACATGCAGGCGATTGCGTGTGGCCACGAACACCGCACTCCCTTCTGTGCCGCCCTCGTAGGTTGCAACGGCTTGTACCGGACCGCCCGCGAAGAAGCTGGGCACCGAATACTCCACAGCAAAGTCGCGGGAAGCAGCATACGGGATGCGTCGGCACTGCCAGGACCCGCCAGTCTCGGGCACCGCCGGCACCGCCGGCAGCAGCAGCAGCAGTAAGAGGAAAGGTTGCAACAGCGGCGGGTGGAGCTCCATCGAGGCCCAGGTAGGGCCCGGTGGAGGTTCCCGCAGACCCGGGCCTGGCTGGGAGCAGACTCAAGTCTGGGTTGGGACCCGCGTCGAGGGTATCGATCCTGGGAGCCCCGGGGCAGCTGACCCAACCAGGACTCCTGAGATGCCCACCGCCCTCTCCTGCCCACAGGGTCCGAGCGCCTGGCGCGGGCGGACACACGCAGACAGAGAGGCCGCCTCACCTGTTGCTCTTGTTGCCGCTCCCAGCCGGAGATTAGAGAGCGAAGTCTGTCGGAGCTACCCGGGCGCGGCGGACGGGACCAGGGAGTGGGGGAGGGGCTGTGGGCGGGGCCTGCTGGCTGGCTGGCTGGCCTAGTCCAGCCCCTCTGCCTAGCCGACTCTCCCCGCCCTCGGAAGCCTGGGTCCTACACCTACGCTTGGGCCCCTTTTCCTCAGTGGCCTGTGGGTGAGTGGGTGTGGAATGGCCCGGAGAGACGTTTAACATCTGAGCTGTCCTGTCCCGCCCCCCGACGATCCACTGGGCGGAAGTGGGAGGGATTGCCCCAGCGGGTTTGAGGACCATTTGGTATCCTTCTCTCGGCTCCAGGATACAGCAACATCCTCAGACACTCGTTCCTGATCAGGGCCCAGGGGACACTCCTGTGGGGACCAGAAGCCAGGAAGGTGTGGAGAACCACAGTGGAGGTGTGAGGAGACCCCAGGAGTGGCACTACCCTCTGTGAAAGTGTTATTGAGTCGTGTCCGACTCTTTATGACTGTAGCGTGCCAGGCTTCTCCGTCTGTGGGATTCTCCAGGCAAGTATACTGGAGTGGGTTGCCATTCCCTTCTGGGACTATCCCTCTGTGGACCTGCTCTGGGCTGACTGCGACAGGATGGTGGTCAAAGGCTACTGCCTTGCATCTGGCCTGCCTAGGGCAGTGGGAGTCATAAGATGGGGCCCACACTGTTGGCTGGATCTCAGAGTCAGAGGAGAAACAACTTACATGGAGGCCCAGTCCTAGCTCTGGTCTGTCTACTACTGCCTCAGTAGGTGGCAGCTGTAGGGATGGGGACAACAGAACACAAAGTGCTGGCCTTCCTTCCTGGTTCTGTTCCAGCACCTCCCTGAAATGCGGGAAACATGGGCTTTGGCTTTCAGGGCACCTCTAACCTGTTCTGTTAGCCTTGCTGGGCCTCAGGCTTTCAGTCTCTGAAATGAGGTGGTTGCCCAGAGTTCTCTCTCTAGGCTGTGATTTGTGTAGGGCGGGAGTAGGGGAGTCAACCCAGGTCTGCCCTTGCCATCTCTCAGCATCTGCTCCTTGGGAACTACACCCCCAACACCAGAGTGTCCTGGGGGACATCTTTAGCCTGATAGCCCCCTCAGCCATGTGGGCCTGGACCCTGGAGAGAGGGAGAGCTTCACAGAGTGACCGTAGGTTGAGTTCTGAGTGACCTGTGAACTGTGAGTCCCAGAGATTTGTAGGGTAAGGAGTGTGGGTGAGGAGAGGAGACAGCCCAACAAGATTCAGACTGACCCTACAAGAGCCTCCTCCACTCATCTCCAGCCTATACTCCTAGTTCCTCCTTCCAGGAACACCTTTTCCCCTTCCTTCTCTTGCAACGTACACGGCATCTCCTCCAGGAAGCCTACCTGATCTGGGTGGTGCCAAGTCCATTTTGTGGGTCCCATACACCCTGTGCTACACCTACCCCAGCACAATTCACTCTGAATAACTTACACCCCCCTTCACCGGTTCCTAATTCAGGACTCCCCTACCCCTCCAGGCTGGAGCTCCTGGAGCAACTGGTGGGAGGTGGGGAAGAGCACAGGGTGGCCACACCCAGTGCTGGAAAGATACTGCGCCTGAGGCAACATAAAAGGCACTCCCTTCTCTAACCTGAATTGCCCGGAAATGAATAGACACCTTCAGAAATTATGGCACCATTCCTATGTTCCACAGTCAACATGTCTAAAAGGTAGTCAAACGGGACAAAACTGAAATAAAACGTTCCCTGCCTGGCACCGAGGCATGGGTTCTTAGGACCTCCATCCTGTCTCAGGATATTGGGAGAGACTTCTAGGGATTAGGAGTAAATTTCAAGGGCCTTTCCTGGTCACCTGTTTGGGAGGGGGGAGTGGGTTTGCGGTACTCAACAGCTGGTTCTCTGCTGCCATCATGTGGCCAAGCTGTTGACTGCCTCCAGGCTGGCATCTCCTCTTAGGTAGCCTAGATTTTCAACAGCAGCCCTGGTTTTGGATAGAGTGCCCTTTCCTCTCTCTTTATCTGCTTGGTCTGCGGGAGGGGAGCAGGCAACCCATGTCGGGGAAGTCAGCTAATGGGGCCTTGCAGTGCTGAGAACAAGTACTTTCTCAAGGTGAATTCACAAGGCCCGGCCAAGGTTCAGCTTAAGTACCTACCCCACTGCCCTTGAAAAGAGTGCTAGCCACTTTGCCCTCTGGGCTCTCACTTCCTTGTGAACGCTACTACAGAGAACTAGCGCCAGCCTCTTTCTCCAACCCAAAGATCATCCTGGTGGCGGCAGGGAGATCTCTCTAACCACAACATATCCAGATCACTCTGCAGCTTTAAAATATTCAATGGCTCCCCATTGCCTGAATTTTCCCTGGAGTTTGAGAACCCTGGGCTTTAAAGACTCCTCCAGCTTCACTGTAACCCAATGAACCTGTCATACCAGTTTCTTTACCATATCAGGTTTCATACCAGTTTCATCCCTTTGCACGTTCTTCCACTAGGTTCTTCCACTAGGAACACCTTTCCTATTTGCCTGTTGTCCCTTCCTTGCTACCCAAACAGGTAAACCCCACGCTCCTAGGTGCCTACTGTCCTAGGTATATGCACTTATCTAATTGTGACTCTCTCTTCCCACCCCCATCCAGAATAGGTGCTGAACTGCAAGAAGCTGGGAGCCCTACAGAGATCAGGGCAGCCAGCAGGGACACTGGGGGGGCTGACCGCTGACCCAAAAGAACACCAGTGGCTGTCAGAGACAGGTAGCCTGGCATCACCCTGGCCCCAGAGACAGGTTTGGTGCCCTGGCCAAAATTCAGGGAAGTAATAAAAACATGAAGCAGGCAAAAAAAGAGATGCAGGGCATGTGCAGTATGAGTGGCAGCCCCTAAGCCTCTGGCTGCTCCATAGGTGCTTTGAGGTCTGGGCAGGTAGCCTGCTGCCTAATCCATTCCAGTATGATCTGAGGTGAGGCCAAGGGGTGGGGCCAAGGGGAAGGGCTATGCTGCCATTTTCTGGGACAGTAAGTGAATCATTCCAGTGCATCCTTGGCCCATGCCACCCACACAGACACATTCTCTAGCATGGGTTGGTTTTAGTGGCAGCGTGTATTGGTCTGGCACTCAGACTGCATGAGGGTGATTCACTCTATAGTCTGAAGACCATATTCCATGGACACTATTCTCCCATAAGTATTTCTGAGGTCTTCTGCTCCCCTGGCCAATGAGATGGTTAAACTGTGGCATAACTGGGAGAGCCTCCAGCAGGAAGGTAGAGGCTTTCTGCACTGTGCCTTGGGCTCTGTCCAGAAAAGTTCTCATGGTTGAGTGAATGGGGCTGGGCCTTCACTCCTGAGCCTCCTGGGATGTTCATGGTGACCCATGTAGGCTGGGCCGTGCCAGGCATCAGGGTGACTGAAGAGGGCATCAGCTGTTCTTCTTAGGGCAGGATCCACTCCTACCACAGAGGTCAGCTGGGTCTTCTTTCAGGTTCTCCAGCTTACTCTTGAGGCCATCCTGAGGAATGTGCTGGGTGGAGGTGGGGGAGCTGAGGTGGACAGCCTTCATGAGGAAGCCTAAGCTGGGACAGTTTTCCCAGAGGCCTACAGCTGCAGCGAGGCTGGACTCTGACTTTGCTTGTGCTTAACACTAGGTCACCTACCCAAGGGCTCCCAGCCATGCCAGGGCTCAGACCCTCCCCCCTTGGCTGTCCCCATCTCACTTGGTGCAGCCCCTTAAGCAGAGCATTGGAAGGGCTCCCAGGTGGTTGGGTAGTCTTTCGGGGCACACAACTGGGGATCCCACCAAGGAGTGACAGGAGAGGCACCAGGGGCTCAGACTGGGGGTGGGGTGGGGCTTCGCAGGGGGTTGGGAGGGAAAGCCATTGGGGTCCCAGAGAGCTCTTTACATGTGGCAGGACTCCAGCTGAATGAAAACAGCCCAGCCCAGGGGCAGACTCTGAGCACATGTGATGCTCTGCAAGGGAGGGGAAAGAGAGGCTCAGATGTGCATGTGCTAAAGCAACTATATTCCAATAAAAATTTTTTAAAAATAATAAAATCAAATAAATCATAAGAGAATTCTATTAAAAATGTGCATGTGCCCCTGTATATGGGGAAGCATGGGCAGGGCTTAGGGAGGAGGATCCAGGGTTTATATCTGAGTGAGAAAGGGTGAATGAAGGAACCAGTGACAAGGCCCCTCAGTGTCTTCCCCAGAGCACTTTAATGCACACACCACCCCACAGTTGCTGCCTGCTGCAGCGGGGGCAGGGGGAGCAGAGAGGCCAGTGCCACCTGGAGGCTCTCACAGCTTCCACAGCCTGGTATGCCTCGGAGGGCTACACCCACACACATTCTCATCAGTACGTGAGGGGCGTGAGGATGAAGAGGCGGTCTTCCTCTTTGCGGATCCAGCGCATCAGTTTATGGATGGCACTGACGGCCGACGCCTTGGTCCCCAGGGTGCTGTAGCACATGTAGAGCTCAAAGGCGCCTGTCACCTGGAGGAGGGGGCACAGGGTGGTCATCCAGGTTGCCTAAGGACCTCGCCCAGGACCCTAGCCCTGGGTCAGCCTAGCCCACCCCACGGCCATCTTACCCAGGCCAGGAGGTTCTCGTTGGGGCCGGTGTAGTAGATCGTCTTCAGGGGGCGGGAGGCATTGTGGGCTCGGCTGTGCAGGTACTGGTAGAGGCCCAGCAGCCGCTCCTGCTCCTCTTCACTGTCGTACGGGGCCTCAATCTCAGGGCTGGAGATGGGGGAGTGGGTTCGCAA